AGGGTGCGCTCTGATCCAATGGGACTGGTGACCTTATGAGAAGAGGAGATGAGGACACAGACACACACAGAGGAAAGATGTGAGGACACAGAGAGAAGACGGCGTCTACAAGCCCAGGGGAGAGGCCTCAGGGGGAACCAGCCCTGTGACACCTGGATCTCAGGCTTCCAGCCTCCAGGAGGTGAGAGAAGACACTTCTGTTGTTTAAGTCTGTGGTACTTTGTAATGGGAGCCCTCGTGAACTAATACAATGTTCATTTCACTCACAATTAGAGAAATGCAAATTAAAACAACACTGGGATGCCACTTATCACCTATCATACTGCCCAAAATGAGAGATCTTGGCCACAGCACATGCTCTGTGGCCAGGCCGTGGGGAGATGAGCACGCTCATGCATTGCTGGTCACACTGCAAATTGGTAAGATCCTTACTGAGGGAAATGTGGCAATTTCTAACAAAATGACATGTCCATTTATCTTTTGATCTAGAAATCCCACTTCTAGGAATTTATCCTAAAGAAGTACCTGCAATAACGCAAAATCGCACTGGCATGGTTATCCACGGAAGCATCGTTCGTAACAGGAGACTATTGGAAACCACCTAAATGCTCACACCCGGAAGATTATTGGAGTGGAAGATGGAGTGCCCACAACAGGGTCGTGTGCAGCTGTAAAAAATGACAAGGAGGACCTCCAAGAAGTGATGTTGATGATAGGCAGGCTGCATTGTAAAGAGAAAAAAAGTGAAGTGCCAAAGTGCCTGTGACGGATGCGAGCTTTCAGGTAAGACAGGGAGACAGAAAACACGCGGGTGCCTGCTTCTTCTGCAGGAAGGAACACAGGAGGGAGGAACCGGAGTCGACCTGGCGTGGCCACCTGCACACAGTGAGCCGTGAAGGGGGAAGAGGTGGGAGGAAGTTGGACTCCTCAGAGGATCCCTGTGGGGTGTGGTTTTGACTTTGGGATCAAGGTAATGTATCACACCCAAAAATAAGTCCTTGAAATGGAAAACAACTGTGTTATAAACAAATGACCTAAAAGGGGAGAAATCGACCCCAGGCAATTTTGGACGGATGATTTTTCTATATATTCTCAGGTTAAAGACAAAAGGAACGGTGAACATCCTGGGTTCTGGTTAGCGGGCTTGTTTTCCACGTGGTTTGGGTGTGCAGCGCTGAAACGACTTTGCCCTCTCTCCAGGAAGGATCAGACGAGTGAACACGCGAGGATAATGGGTCCTCCTTGTGGAAAGGGAGCTTTAAACCGGGAGCGTGGGAGGGGCAGCTCTGTTGCGGAGACAGTTAAACTGCGATTACACCTTGTGAGCGCAAAGCTGACAGCGCTCCTGGCGCTCGGATCTTGGTTCTCAACCCCATTCTCTGCAAAAAGGAACTGGGGTTTCTTGGAGAAATTATTTTAAGGCTGAGTCACAGAAAACATGAGAGGAACTTGGAATGTTTCTTGTGCCAGAAAGTAAAAACATGTCCAAGGAATCAGACAAATGTGTCAAAAAGACTCAGCAGCCATCTTGAAGGAGCTTCCACCAGACAAATGCGGTGGATTTGAGCATTGAGATAAGCAGCCGTAACAGATTCTAACTCATGGGAGGAAATAAGAATTCCCGAGTCCACACTGAGACAGATGAATAAGTAAATGGAGGGAACGGGGAACCTCCTAGGAGGATGCTCACCAGCCAGCGTCCTGAGCGCTCCCCGTTCCCCGCACGTTCTCTGTTTCCTGCACACCTGAGTGGCATCAGCTGTAACTTCCCTCGGCCTGAAGAACATGTTAGCATTTATTTACTGTCCTGCACGTGCAAGGGACCAACTCTCTCCACTCTGGTTTACCTATAAACATCTTCACTCCTAGAACTCCGAGGGCTTTTTAGAGATGCACCTCCATCACTCGTCATGAGAAGTCACCACCGAAATGTCCCCATTGACACGAGTCTTTTCTCTATGACTCTGTGAAAATTTTCTCCAAACCCTCGGTTTGCGGTACATGGACATGATGTCCCCAGGAGTGGTTTGGGGATTTTTCTCTTTATCTTGCTTGGGTTTCCCTGAACTTCTAGAGTCTCTACGATGATGTTTGGTGACGTTTGGGCCACCATTTCTTCAACTATTTTTTCTGCATGGTTCTCGGTCTCCCCTCTTTCCAGGATGAGTTTGCACACCGACCCAGCCCTGTGGGCCTCTGAGGCACTGACGTCATTCTCTGCTCTGTTCCTGGACCAGATCATTTCTGTTGGTTGGTCCAGCTCTAATCTGCTATCACATCCGTCCAGTGGAGCTGCTGTTTCACTGCCGGTACTTTTCAGTTCTGGAATTTCCATTTGGTTCTCTTTTCTAGTTTCCATTTCTCTGCTGAATTTCCCTATCTGATGTTCCTGCCTGTTCCCTCATTCTTTGTTCATTAGCTAATTATTCCATTCTGTCGTGTTTGATGAAACCTGAGCGCCCGCTTCCCTTTGTGCTGGTGACATATGCATCACGGCTCCTTCAGGCCTTCGTCCCCTAAGTCCCACTCTGCATCTTCAGGATCACTTTTATTAACTCCTTTTTTTAAACCACAGGTCATATTTTTCTGTCTCTTTGCAGGTATAGTAACCAGTGTGTTTCTGACACTGTAGAAGCCCCACATCCTGATGTCACCTCCGAATGCTGTTGACTTTTGTTGAATTGTGTCCCCCTGAATTCCCGTGTTGAAGCCCCAACCCCCCATGTGTATTTGGAGGTACGGCCTTCGAGGAGGTAACAAGGTTAAGTGAGGTCACAAGGGTGGGACCCTAACCCAGTAGGACTGGTGCCTTTATCAGAAGAGGGAGAGACACAGAGATCCCCATGTGCACAGAGAAGAAGCCACGTGAGCGCACAGCAGGAAGCCGCCTGTCTGCAAGCCAAGAAGAGGGTCCTCACGGGAGCCAGCTCTGTCAGCACCCTGGTCTCGGACTTCCGACCTCCAAAGCAGGAGAAAGTGAAGCCTGTGGCTTCAGCACCGTGCAGCTCTGCCGCGCAGCTGTGCAGACCGAGACGGCTTTCCATCAGGAAGCCAAGTTGCAGGCAGCTCACTCTGCACGAGCTGCAAGCTTTGGCCACACAAATCTGCGGAAAATCCCACTTGTCTCCCACGCCCCTCTAATTTGTCAGAATTCAGCTTCCGAACGTCTCTCCTGTGGGTCTTTCGGGACTTTTCAAGGTTTGTTAAAGCCAGCCCCAGGCAGGCCCCACCCTCAGGGGCAGTCCTCACTCCCAGCAGGCCTTTCTGGCGGCTGCTGGATGCCCAAGGGTCAACGGGGTCTCTCCACTCTGGCTGGGCTGTCCCCCACAGCCCCCCAGCATTGTTTGACCTCAACCACAAGGCAGCCGCTCTCCGTAGACCTCAGGCCGTCCTGCCCTGCAGATGGGGGCGGGGGGGGGGGGGGAGGCACTGTGCTCAGAACCTCGAGGCTGAAACCCGCCCCACGCCCTCTGCCCTGACCCAGACCAGCCTTCCCGCCCGCAGTCCCAACCCCAGCTGAGGAAAGAAAATGGGGCGATCAGACAGTCTAGTGCAGGTCGTGGGGTGAGAGAGTGCATGACGAGGACCCAGACACTGAGTAAGGCTGGGCTGACTGTGCAGGGCGGGAGGAGGGAGCCAGCATGGGGCTGGAAGGGCAGCCACGACCCGAGGGCCTTGGACACAATGCCCATGGGATCTCGGTTTGGGGCCATAGGGAGTCATAGGAGAATGTAGGCAGGAGTGGGGTGTGGTCACCTCTCTGAGAGATCGAAACCAGGAGCTTTCCTCAAGGGGACCTGGCTGGCCACAGGCTCTTGGGGAGCAGGACAGAGACTGTAGCTGTGAGGATGACCCTGGGGCCCGCCACCAGGGGCAGCCTGGCCTGCGGGCTCTGAGCAGAGCAGAGCTGGGTGAGACACTCGGGGCAGGAGGGAGGGAGATGACAGGGGGCTGTTGTCCTGCGTCTGAGCCACATGGTCCCCAGACCCCACAGGGAAGGGATCAGGGAACAGAGAGGGTGTCAGCCTGGCCTGCAGTGACCTCCCGACTCAGCCCTCCTCGGGCAGAGGTCCAGCCAGGAGTGGGATCTGACACGGTCCACATTTGCCAGCGATGGTCACAGTAAACGCAGACCAACAGAGTCGGTTTTGCTGTCATTTTTAGGGCAGTCGCAGAAAACAGCCCTCCCACCCCAACCTGTCACTTCTCGGCCCCGCCTGCCGGGAAAGACACACAAGGCTGCGAGTTTGGCAGAGGGGTTTATGGGGCCGCCGGAGAGAGCACAGGGATGCCCCGGATGATGGAGGGGCCCCTCCGGCTGTGGACCGGGGAGGGGTCTGTGGGGCAGTATCCGGGACGTGGATTCAGCGCTGACGTTCCTCGTCTCACTGTGTTGACCCCACCACCCCCACCTGTCACCCCTGGCCTCCCAGGAAAGACGCTCGGGCAGCAGGTCCAGCAGTGGGTTTACTGGAGCGGGTGCAGGTGGCCCCGGGCAGGGCGGATGGGACAGGCGGGTGCGGGGGCTCCAGCATCTGGGCCCGGGGCAGGGGCTCCTCTAGATCAGCTCCTGCAACAAGGAAGGCAGGGCTCAGGGCGCCGGCCACCTCCGAAGCGCCTGCAGGGCAGCGTTAGGCCACAGTGGGGAGTGGGGTCCTAGCTGTGTGACTTTGAGCAAAGCACATGGCTGCCTGGGCCTCAGTCTCTCTACTTGCAAAGCAGGGTAAGAGTCCCAACCTCTCAGGACTGTGTTGTGACACAGTGGGTCATACAGGTGACAGGTTAACAGGATGGGACGTGGGGAACCCGAGACAGTGCCCACAGGGCCTGTGCCCTACCTGAGGGGGACATGAGCCAGCCCCACACGCCCTCCTGGATGGAAAGGTGGGACCAGGGCCCAGCCTCCAGGGTCCCCACCCCACAGCCTGGTGTCACCAGCCTGGAGGCCCAGGGTCCAAAGTGAGCTGGGCTCCATCGGACCAGGGGCTCAGCCGGGGGGCTCAGTGCAGACCGGGGAGAAGGCTCACCTCCTTCAGGAGTTTGGCACACCTCCCTGTGGGACAGGGGCAGTGTGAGTTGCCGCAGGCGGGCGCCCGGAGCCCACCCGCCCACCCCGCCCAGCGCCCACCCCGAAGGCCTACAGCTCACCATGCCGGGCCACCAGGTAAAGCCCTATGTCCGCTGTCATCTCCCGGAACCTCCAGAAGCCTGGTTCATACTCATCCTCGAGGCTCCGAGCTGGGGGGTCGGGGGGTGGTCAGGGGCTGGGCCGGGTGGTCCCCCGAGGGCCATGGCAAGACACAGTCCCACCACCCAGGACGAGCTTACTGAAGTACTTGAGCACGTGGAAGTCCTTGTCCCGCCAGACGAGGGACACCCTCAGGATCGCGTACTGCTCGTAGTCCGTGTCTACCACGTGGATCTCCCTGTGGCCTGGGCATCGAGCAGGTGGGCAACGACCATGTGCAGACCAGCACCCCGCAGGGTTGGTGGACCTCGGAGGCGGGGTCTGCAGGGTCTGCCTCCATCCTCTCCCTTCCCAGGGCCTGGCCCCTCCACTAATGCCGAGGCGGGGGGCAGAGCGGCCCTTGAAGGCTGCCCTAGCCTGTTGGTGAGAAGACGGGGGAGTCTGGGGCATGCAGGGGAGCGCAGGGAAGAGCAGGGCCAGATGTGCAGGGTGGGGGCGTAACTGCAGCAACGGGGCAACGGTTCTTACCAGGAAAAATGAATTTCCCTGAAACATCGATTTCTAAGCCCACTATTTTTTCTGTCTCACAATTTCCTGAGCTGAAAGGCAGCAAAGCAGTCATTAGGAGAATGCCAGGCACAGTCCCACGGGTGAGGGGCGGGAAGTGTGTCTTCAGGAAGGGCTCCAGCAGTGTGTCCATCCCCAGGAGAGCCCGAGGCAGGCGACAAGGGCAGGGGTGCAGGGCGGGGGCTGTGCCAGTCTCTCCCCCCATGGGCCCTGTGACCTCCAGAGAGCCACCTGCCCCTAAGCCCATTTTCCTTACTTATAAATTGATGAGCTTCGTCAAAACTATGCTTATATTTGGGAGAAGACCTGCATCCGACAGCTCTAGGGCCTGGGGGTCAAGGTCCTGGGAGGGCTGGGTCACCACAGTGACGGCACCATCCAGATCCCACAGCTGTGGTCGATACAGGTGCCCCCAGCACCTGGCCACACGTGCCTGTCCCCATGCGAGGTCTCAGGACTCCCCAGGGCCCTTACTTGTTATACGCAGCCTTCACGGTCAGCTCTTCCCCGTTCAAGTTCAGGAACAAGGCCTCCAGCTTCTTCGGGGTCTTCAGTGCCAGGTTCTGGTCGGAAGCCACACCAACTTCCCGCCAGAATCCTGCAATCTAGAGAGAGGAGCCAGAGCCAAGCCCGTCTCGGGCAGCCAGATGGAGACCCTGTCCCTGGGCTCCAGGAGGTAGACCCCCAGGACCCCCAGGGCAGGGAGCTGGCATGTTCTGAAAGGTCAGCGGACGGCGGCATGGTTTGATAGCAAAGCAGCAAATCACTGTCCTTCTGAGGGATCCCTTCAGGGCATCGAACAGTGATGCCTGACAGGACGAGCCCCACCCCATCCAGGGGTGTCTGCAGCCACAGCACGGCCGGTCTCCCGGAGGACTGGTATCTGCTGCTCCCTGTCCTTGGGGACAAGACTCCAGGGAGCAGTGGTGGTTGGAACCCAAGAGAGCAGGGCTGGAGAGGACCAGGTGAATGTGGAAGGTGGGGGCATCAGCGGCCAGCAGCCCTGTCCCCCCTGGCAGCGGCGCAGCCCTGCTGGACCACGCCAGGGCAGCGGGCTCCTGCCTTCAGAAATCCACCCACAGCCCAGGACTTCCATCTGAAACTTTTGGAGACCCATCATTTTTGCAAGAGAAAAGAATCCATGTCCCCAGTGTCTGTCATCTCTGAGTCCACTGATGTGCTCTTGGCCCAGCAGCCAACAGAGACCCTGCGAAGACGCAACTCAGACAAAGCAGCATCTGGATGGGAACCGAAGGCCCAGCCTGACTCTTCACCAGGAAAGGCTCTCTGGTGCCCACAGTGTGCGGAGGGACCCGCCCACCCAGCCACAGGAGGCGGCCACGCCAGGCCATGGACCCTGGAGATCCTGGAGGACAAGCAGGCCTAGATGAGGACGCGGGCCTGCCCACAGGGGACCCTCGGGGAGGGCTCTACTCCTGCGCATCCCTGGGTGCTCGCCCTCACACTCACTCTCCAGGAGAGGAGAGACCAGGCGAGGCCGAACCCTGTGGGGGCCGACCTGGGGGGTCCTGGGGCCCCCGAGGTGGCTGCTCTGGCATCAGCTGGGGTTGGAGGGCTGGGGGACTGGAGTAGCTGGACACTCAGGCCCCTCCCTGCCCAGCCTCCCCAAGCCAAGGAGGAAGAGCCACCTTCTGCAGGTCCAGGATCTGCCCGGCCGTCTGCACCATGACGACGCCCAGCACAGCGCTCAGCAGCCCGGCCTCCATCGTGGGTCTGCGCTCTCTGCTCCGCGGCTCCCGGGCTTATATCGGGAGGGAGAGCCAGGCGTTGTGCAATCACCTGAGAATGTCGTCACGCAAACTTGGCCGCCCGACCACTCAGAGGAGCTCGGTTCTGCAGAAGGGCCGTCCAGGCCCCGAGACACCCACAGCCACAGGAGTGGGGTTGGCCTGGACTCGAGCAGCTGGTGCCGCCAACTTCCCGGCCTGGGGACAAAGGTGGACACTGCAGCGGGGCCCGTCTTGGGGCCTGAGAGCAGGAGGAGGCCCCCATGGCCACCAGGGCAGCACAGGACCACATCGCCACTCCCGTAGGGGCTGACGGGGTGGGTATGCCAAGCCCAGGCCCCCACTGGCTCGGAGCATCCTGCATACACCCCGTGGGCACCTCCTCATGGGCACACAGCGGTTTTCGGGCTCTTTCTGATCCATTTTGTAAGCAAACGCTCTGAGGGCCCAGGACAGCCGGCTGGGCTGCACAGAGCCAGGTGGGGGTCCTACCTCCAGGTGGGGGAGATGGATGAGGGGCTTCCTCTCCCTGGGGAGGTCTCCACGGAGGAGGCGAAGCTTGGATGGGAGAGGACGTTCCCTGCAGAGGGACCAGTGGGCAAAGGCACTGAGGCCTGGTGAGAGGGGCCGCCTGGGAGACAGAGATGGGGGTCGAGCAGGCGCCAGGGAGCCCCAGCTGTCCTATCTTCTCCTGTGGCCTGTGTCCCCTCCCACCATGGTAACAACCAGCCCCACCCTGGCCAGGCCTCGTGCAGAGCATCCTACACTTGATGCATTCAGGCCCCATGGTGCCCAGCGGGTGGGACCCACAGCCCAGAAGGCCGGCCTCAGTGAGGCCCTGTCCCGCTCAGCTCTGCAGTTGGGAGCTCACAGCCAGGGTTTGAACCCAGGCTGTGGGACACCAGGGTCCACCGCTTCCCCATCCTGCCCTGGACCCCCACCACCAACAACGCATTTTACCCCAGACCAGGGATACACAAGGAGCATGCCGAGGTAAAGACGGAGTCAGGCTTCCTGGGCACCAGTCCTGGACCCCTCCAGCCCTGTGACCCAGAGCGAGCTGCCCTGCCTCAGTTTCCCTATCTGTAATGATGACGAAGCAGAAGGATGGGCATCACGTGGCCAAGAGGGGTTTCAGGGTGCCCAGAGCAACTCCTGCCCAGATCAGCATCCCTGGTCCTTGGCGGGCGGGGGGCAGACTTCCTGCCTTCAGGCTGAGAAAGCCCACCCTGGCCTGGCTCCGGACAAGGTCAGCTAAAGGGGAGTCCTGCTTACCAGGGGCACCAGCCACCCTGGATCCTGGATGGGGCACTGCCCTCTGACAAATGCTGGAAGGTTGGGGTCAGGCAGGTGGGCAGGGGGAGTCAGGCAGGTGTGGGGGCCAAGCTGGGACAGGGTGGCCCTGAGCTGGCTGGCACTCTTGGGACCAGGGGACACCTTCCAAAGAGCAGGTGCAGTAGGGGACCCCGAGAAGGCTGAGGACTGGCTGAGCCCGGCCCCAGGCTGATGAAGCAGGGCCCCCCAGGGACAGGCTTGGAGAGGGAGAACAGGAAGCGTGGGGGACACTCGCTGAGTCTGGCTGACCCAGGAGGACAAGGATAGATGCCCCTCAGGGCTGGGGGCTTCCGGCTCCGGCCCTGCGAGGGCTGCAGGGCACCCATGAGCAATGAAGCGGGACCTCCAGTGCCTTCCTGCGCCCCCACGCCTGGCCCTTTGAAGTGTGTGTGCCGGACGTAGCCTGGGTCCACCCAGCGAGAGGACCAGCGGGCGCAGCTCAGAGACAAGAGGGGCAGCAGGCCCCCAGGGAGGCCTCCCCTGCCCCCAACATCTCATCGAGGGTCAGCACAGAGTCCAGGCCCTGCAGCCTAACCACTGAGCCTGAACCCCAGCCTGGCCCCTTGCTGGGCAAGTTGTCAACCTCTCTGTGCCTCAGTTTCCTGATCCGCGAAACAAGGAGCACAACAGGCTCTCTGAGTGCGTTCTGGGGTCCATCACGGGAGCTGTCAGGCCCGGACAGCAGACGAGGGCTCAGAATGCACCGGCCATGACTGTGACCCACGTCCAGGCCTCTGCGTGATGTGCCCAAGGTCAAGGTCACATCCAGGGTAGGAGGAAAAACTCCAACAAAACCCACTCGGCAGCCCAGGCTGCTCTGCCTCCAGCTCCTGTGGCAGCTGTGCACAGGGCACCTCAGTCTCCCCACAGGCGCTGAGAACCCAGGGGGCCAGGCTGGTGGGCACTGGACGCTGCCTGTGGGTGCAGCCCCCACGGGTACCAAGCTTGGCTGGAGCCTCCTGCTCCCGCAGCCAGGAGGAGCCCAAGGGCCAGAGTCCCCTCCACACCCACCTCCCCGCCTCAGTTTCCCCAGGAGTCCAGGGCCAAGACGGGGCCCACTGTGCCCTCCCAGAGGGTCTCATCCAAACAGGAGGAGCTTCAGCTGCAGAATCTGTTTATTGAGTGGAAGGCAGAGGCCAGGAGACACCCATGGGGGATGGGAAGGAGGAGAGGGTGGCCCAAGGCATGGGGGCCGGGAGGGTTGTGGGTCTGGACGACGCCGGTGACAAGACTGCTGCTCTGGCTCGCCCTGCACAGACAGGAAAGGCAAGGTCACTCCATCCGCCCACTTGCTCAGCAGACATTCCTTGGAGGCCCCCAGCTGCTCCCACACACAGCAGGCTGCCCCCCACGCAGCACGCTGCCCCCTACTCACATGTCCCACGAGGCCAGTACCAGCTAATTCTGCCACCAAAACCTGCGAATGTGGAAACACCCACTGCTGCTCCCCCTGAAGCCCCGGGCTAGAGGCGGCCGGCACCAGCAATGCCCCCTTCCCTGGGGTCCCAGGGTCCCGGCCACACGTCCCAGGGCCTCGCTCGGTGGCTGGCTGGTGGTGAGGGGGCTGGTGAGGCAAGAAAGCCCCACAATGGCCACTAAACCACGACCAAGCTCACAGACTCAGCACCCGAGAGGGAGCCCATGTGGGGCACTTTACCCCAAAAGCTGCTTTTTGTTTTTAATAAATCCTGGGAGTCAGGCACAGAGCAGGAAGAAGGGGCTCACGCTCTCCGTGGAGAGAACCTTCCGGAGAACGACTTGGCACCATTCTCCACCCCCTCTCCTCCCACCCGGTGACATTTCTGAAGCAACCACACGTGTGACGGGAGGCAGTGCAGGGTGCTGGGCAGCATGATTTAGGTCTATGGAAAGTTAAAATGTCCCCAGCACACCACTGGGCAGAGAGCGGGGACAGCCCGGGAGGGCAGAATGACAGGAGGGACTGGGGAGCAGCCACTGCAGGGCGGTGAAGAGGTCCCGCAGGGCCAACGCCTGCCCCCGCCCAGAGACGCCGCAGGGGCGTCTGCTGGCTGTCATCTCTCATCTGTTATGTATTGTTTCATGGAGGCTCCCAAATTCTTTGCAAGGAACTTGGGGGAGGGGCCCGATGGTTTCCTGGCATCTACTTTGGGGGACGGTGTCCGCAGGAGCCCACCTACATCCGTGTCCCTAGGGCTCCTGGGGACCTGACCCTGTGGTGGCAGTGAACAAGAAAGTGGTGGCTCCCACCCCATAGGACCCTCAGGGAGAGAACAAGGACCAGGCAACTCCAAGGCAGGGCCCAGTGCCCGGGGTGGGCCAGGCGCTATGGGGACCTGCTGCACTGGGTTGTACAGCGTCTCCCAGATTTCAAGTCCACCTGGAACTCTGTGACCTCGTCTGGAAATAGGGTCTTTGCAGATGTAAGTGGTCAAGGATCTTGAGATGAGATCACTCTGGACTCAGGGTGGGCCCTATGACCACGGACTCTCGTTCTCAGAGAAGAGGGAAATTTGGAAACAGACACACAGAGGGAAGACGGCCATGTGACAACAGAGGCAGAGGCCAGAGGGATGCACCTACGCGCCAAAGAACACAGGGGCTGCGCCACCACCAGAAGCTGAAAGAGCAAAGATTCTCCCCTGGAGCCGCCAGAAGGACCAGCCCTGCCCACACCTTGATTCTGGACCTCTGGCCTCCAGAACTGTGGAGAGCGTAAATGTCTGTTGTTTTAAGCTACCCAGTTTGTGGTGATTTGTTATGGCAGCCCTAGGAAATCAGGAGAGGCTTCCTGGAAGAGGTGATGTGTAAGCTGAGGCCTGAAGCACACGGTGGGGGGAGGGGGCGGGCGGGGAGGGGGCGATCTGCAGTGCGGATCTCAGGGGGGAAAGCAGGAGGCGGAAAGGCGACCAGGGGCAGCCACGCAGGCCTGAGAGCGGGAGGGAGGAGTGACGCCGTCCCCACCTGGGAAGGGCCAAGGTGGGGCTCCTGAGGTGTCAGGGTGCCTCCGTGCCCCTCAAGGAGCACACATCTGTGGGAAGGAGAGGGTCCATGAGAGGCCGAGCCGGCCGGGCGGGGCCGAGACTCTCCCACCTCCGCTGCCCAAACCCTTTCCCTTATCAGGGTGCGGTGGGGGAAGGACCGGGCGGGGCTCCGAGAGGCGGGGCTCGGGGGGCGGGGGCGGGGCTTTGGGGCGGGGCTCGGCCGGGATGGGCCAGGGCTGGTCTGGGTACCTGACTTGGGCAGCGTAACCATCATGTCATCCGGGAGCCCGACGGTCGGGTAGAAGTCCTGGAAGGCCTTCACAGCCTGGGGGCTCGCCTCCTGGGTCCGGCCTGGGGCAGAGCAGGGGCCCCTGTGAACCCCGTGGCTCATACAGGTGAGGGAGAAGGGGAGATGGGGTCTCTGGGCCTCAATGCACTTCCTAGAGGGCTGATAGCATGTCGGCCACTGGAGGGCGGGCAGGTTGTGCACTGCACACAAGTGCCTGCCTGGCTGAGGGACCAGTGGGGCCTGGAAGCTGCCCAGAGGGACGCCCTTTCCTTATTCACACGGAGCATCTGGGAGGGTGGGGTAGCCAGGCTGTTCTCCCAGCGCCGTGTTCCCCGGGCCTCACCCCACTCCGGCCTCTCCACCCTGGGGAGTCCCTGGCTTACTCTGCTGAACCCCCAGGAAATTAAAGCAAGATAGGATCTCAGCCCCTGCTTAGGATCTCAGGCAATGGGATGGAGAAAGGAAGGGTGGGGCCCCACCCTCGGGGAACCCAGAGAGGATGGTGAGCTTCAGCCTGTGTGCCTGACCCTCCAAGACCCCTCCAGTCAACCCCCACCCATCCCAAGCGTTGTGGGGTCCCGCCACCCCCACCCCCACCTGGTCCTTGCCAGGCCCAGACTTGGGAGTATGTGAGGATGTGGGGCAGGAGAGGAGATGAGGGCAGGTCTGAAGGGGCGAGACCAGGGGAGACAGGGAGGGGAGAGGAGGGATGGGGTGGACAGTGTCCAGTGGGGATGGGGGGCGGCTGCGGGCCTCACTGTAGAGCTGCACCATGGTGCTGAGCGCCCCCTCCAGCTCCTTGTAGATGTACACCACGGCGAAGGAGCTGTAGTCCGTGTCCACGATGCGCACGTCGAGGTAGCCCAGGGCTGCAGGGGAGGCGGACGGACAGCCATGGAGAAGTGCCCTAGGCCCAGGCCCCGACCCTACCCGCATGTCCGCTGCTGCCGGGCCAAGGACGGAAGGGGAGGGATGGAGGGGAGGGGCAGGAGATGGCAATGCGGAGGCTCCGGCTAGAGGGACAGTCCCATGTCACCCCGTGGAGAAGCAGCACCAGGCGCCCCTGAAGGCAGGTGGGGCAGGACCTACCCGGGACTCTGAAGTGCCCCTCGGAGCCCACTTTCAGGTACTCGGCGTCCACCTGGTTACAGCGATCAGCCCTGGGGATGCACAGCCCGGTGCTCGCTCTCCACTGCTGCCCGGCCCGCCCCATCCTGGCCCAGCCCACCCCGCGGCACTTACCGAGGAAACTCCATGTGGACGCTGAGGTTGCCCCCCGTGATGGCCTTGACGGTACTGGTGGACATCAGTAAGTGGTCCTTCTTGCCCAGGAAGACCTTGCAGTCAGAAGCCATGGAGACCACGTACCAGAGGCCTGAGAACTGTGAGGCCGCTCAGTGACCAGCAGGCCGGACCCTCCTTGCCCTGGGACCCCGGGGCACAAAGCCAATGGACTTGTCTGAAGCCACACAGCCAGGGGTCTCCAGAGTGTCCATCTCTCGGGTCTGAGCCCTGTTCTACCACTCACGTGGGGCAGGCCGCATGGCCACTGTGAGCCTCAGTTGCCCCAGCTCTGTAATGGGTCAGTAATTACCCATACGCAGGGTTGTTTCAGGGTTAACTGGATAGGGAATCTAAAGGGTTCGCAGGCCAGAGGCACATGCCCCACAGAAGGCGGCAGGTACTATTATCCTCTCATCACTATTGTTTCCGGCAGGGGCTCTGTCCCCACCCCAACCCTCGGCAGAGCATGGAGGCCTCTAGTACCTTTTTGGCATCAAAATCTGGCTGCACCAGGACCTCAGCCTGGGCCACGGACACCCAGAGCAGCGCCAGGACCCAACCCAGCAGGATGGACTTCATCCTCACACCTGTCCTCCAGCCCCTGGCGCCTGAGCCACAGACCCCGCAGGCCCAGCTTTATAGCCCAGCCCAGCAGCCGGGCTCACCAGACGAACAGGCTGGGGAGCGGAAGGCACTTTGGCTCCAGAAACTCAAGCCCGCTTTGTCCATTGTTTGGCACAGTCACTCCTGTGTCCCCCACCGGCTCCAAGGGTCATTTCTCAGAGGGCTCCAGAGAGCCGGGCTCTCACCTGACTCTTAGGGTGGATTATGGCATTGCAGCCGCCTTATCACTGGTTGCATAACCATGCAGGCAAGAGTGTCGCCAGGGAGGCGCCAGGGGCTGGTGGGAGCTTGAGCTGGCAAGGGTGCTCCAGGTGACCTCTTGTGTCCACTCAGAGCACCCAGGGACACTATTTGAGGATGAGTGTGTGGCCTTGGGGCATACCTCCCAGCTGCCTCTGGTCAGGGGCGAGGGTCCCCAGGGGAGTGGAAGGGAGTACAGGATCAGAGAAAGACACTCAGCCCCCAGCAGGGAGGGAGGGGAGGAGCACGGCTTCTGCTGGCCGCCACCCCTGCATTTGGGGAGGCGCCAGTTCTCACCCAGTCCCAGAGTCACTGGAGAGAGAGCAGTGAGATCTTTCCCAGGAAAATATTTATAAGACGCACATCTGATAAAGGACTTAAGTCTCGAACTCATAAAGAACTCTCAAGACTCAAAATAGAAAAACAATTTTTTTTAAAAAAGGCAGATTTGAAGTCATTTCACCAAAGAAGATATCCAGATGGAAAATAAACACACAAAACGATGCTCGATGCCGTGAGATGCGAACTGAAACCATCTGAGCCACAACCGCACACCTATCAGAACGGCGAACGCTTTTTAAAATAAACATTGTCACTGCCGGGGGGGGGGGGGGGGGGAGCAAAATGGTGCAACACTCTGGGAGCCAGTGGGGCAGCTTCCTAGGAAGTGGAACCTTCATTTACCAGACGACTCAACAACCGCTCGCCCAGCTAGTTACCCAGGAGAAGCAAGAGCCCAGAGGCCTGCCCGTGGGTGTTTATGGGACTTAATTCACAGTCCCTCGGGAGTGCAGCAACCACCGCCCTCCAGCGGGCGGGCAGGAGAGCACACTGCCGTCCCTCCCTATGATGGGACCCTCCTCAGGGATACAGGGAACGAACCACTGATTCTCACAACCTGGATGATGCCAGATGTGTCACACTGAGTGAGAGCAGTCCATCTGAAAAGGCGACAGGCTGTGACTCCTTTTCTGAGACACTCTAGAATAGCAGATCCATGGGACAGAAGGCTGCTCCGTGGTTGTCAGGACCCCAGTGGGAAAGTGACTGATGACAGAGGGGCATGTGGAGACTTTGGGGTGACGGGTTGTGGTGATTCCATGACTGTTTGCTGTGTATAAATTATTCCTCAATTTTTTAAAAGCGATTATATGAGCCACAAATATAGGTAAAATCTTCCCCCAGATGCCGCCTCTCTGGAAGAGGGGCAGGGAAGCCTGAGGGGGGCGAAGTCCCCAGGCTATGGGTCCAGAGCTCCAGGGGAGGGAGGGCAGGACAGATGCCGGACCCCCCACAACAGGACCACTGGGTGAGAGCGAAGCCCTAGTCCTTCCATGGGTCAGCAAGGACCAAGGGACAGACACCCGCCGCCTGCAGACCCCCCTGAGGACCCTCAGAGGCACGGGGCAGCCTCCTGACTGTGGAGGCTCCTGGCCTGGGTTTGGGGACTCTCTGCCAGGAGTCTTCAATGCAGCCTGGTCATCTCCTGGCCTCCCCACTCCCCCCTCACCCCCCAAAGTCTGCTCTCCACACAGTGGCCCGAGCAAACTTTACAAAGCGTAAATCTGATGCATCGCTGCTTAAAAGTCCCTGAGTTATCACGGCGCCTGGCACAAGACCCAGCGCCCAGTCCCACCCCTGCACCTTGCCCCGCACCCCAGCAGTCAGCCCAGCCAGCCCCCAGCTCCATCCCAGCCCTCTTGCTTACACCCTCCCACCCAGCAGGCCTCTGGCCCCTGCACCCAGAGCCTCACGCTCGCTGGGCTCCACCTGGTCTCTGCCTCCTCCACGCAGCCTTCCCCAAGGCCCAGTCTGTTTCCTCGCAGCTTTGAGCATAATCCGTGTCTTCTCCTGTGTTTATTTATTGTCTACTCTCCCTACACGTGCTGTAAACTCCGTGACAACAGGAGCTGTATGTAGTTGTTTTGCTTGTTTCCCCAGCCCCTAGCACGAGGCCTGGTGTGGGGAAGGGGCTCAGTTAATATTGTGAATGAAAGAGGGAGTGAAGGACTGAAGTCGCCTTGACCTGCAGCCCTGCTAAAAACTGGGGTCTTGACAGCAACTGCAGCCCCATCTGGCCTGCGTCGTCCACAGGAGCAGCTGGCCCTGCAGGCTCCAGGCAGTGGCTGGGTCAGCTAGAGCCTCCTACTGCCTCCCCAGTGTCCAGCACAGGGCCCGGTTGCCAGGGCCTCCGTCACATCCTGCTGGCCTCAGTTCCCTGGAGGGCAGCACTGCTAAGTGCATGCGTTGGTCAACTTAAAAGCAAATACGCCTGTTATTTTATCTCAAAATGAGTTCATTCGGGACTAGCCAAAAGAATTGCCCTTTGCCATTCGGGATGCGCATACTATCATGGCAAACCCAGAGAACGCGGGAGGGAGCTGCTTTTATAGAGAAAAGGGGGAGAAGGCGGGGCTGTTCTAGAGGAAAGTCCATTGGAGGAGAGGAACAGATCAGGGTGGGGACAGCTCTTCATTGGCTGGGCTGTGGCGTTTCTGATTGGTTGGGCTGTGGCATTTCTGATTGGCTGGCCTGCAGCGCTTCTGATTGGCTGGCCTGCAGCATTTCTGATTGGCCAGGCTGTGGCATTCCTGATTGGCTAGGCAGCGGCATTTCTGATTGGCTGGGCTGTGGTGTTTCTGATTGGCTGGGCCGTTGCCAGTGGAAGAGAAGTCTTCCCTCAGTAGTAAAGTGGTTGTACTTCCTGTTTGGAGTAGTTGATGATGTACAACGGGGTGAGGGCTCCCCTGTAGGCCTTTCCGAGTTTAATTTAGTCAAGCCTTCCTTTACACACAGTCATGTGCCACATAACAACTTTTGGGTCAACTTCAGCCCATGTACGTGATGGTGGTCCCATGAGATTAGTCCCATAGAGCCTAGGTGTGCAGTGGGCTCTGCCATCTAGGTTGTGTAAGTGCACTCTGTGATGTTCACACAACAATGAAATCGCCTAATGGCACATCTCTCAGAATGTATCCGAGTCATTGAGGACGCATGACTGTATTAATTTCACAACTGTACGGTCCATGAATTAAACCTCAGTAAAGCTGTTAGAAATAAAACCCGCTGCCAACTGCCACCCAATCTTACAGAGAGAACAGGAATTGTAGTGCTGAAAGTGCCAAAGACTTAATTTCAGAAAAAAAGAGTACACGTTAACACACCTCCCATCACCACTGTAGCTGGGGGTCACAAAGGTCTGAAGGTGGACAGACCCAGGGGCCAGAGCCTCAGTCAGAGACAGTCTGTCAGGAAGGCAGAGGTGACTCCCTAGGCCCTGCACAGAGAATGCCCAGGGCACTTGAGAGCGGCCTCTTCATGGGCACCCCCCATCTTTTGTGTCCCCCTCTGAGCCCTTCGGGTACCCTTTGCACCCTGCCCACCTCACTTTTCTCTGTGCTGACCCACCACTCTGCACCCTCCAGTACCCTCTGCACCCCAAGACACCCTCTGTGCCCTTCCCACCCAGCTTCCCTCTCAAGCCCAGACCTGAGAAGCCCCTAGTGTGGGATAGGCCACATTGTGCCCTGATTGAGTGCAAAGAGGTGGGCAGTGCCCTGCTCTAGTTGGCTGAGGACAGGAGTCACATCCTAACCTGATTGGCTGAGGAGGGCTAGACTGTGCCTGGTGCTGATTGGCTGAGAAGAGCTGAGATTGTACTTTGCAGTAATTGGCCAAGAAGGTGGGGTCAGGAGTAACGTCAGCATCATGGCCGAGTGAGTTGTCCCCTTTGTCTCTCTTTTCTAAGTTATAGCTAAATGGACATTCATTAACCAGCAGATGATTCCCTGTACAACACAACATGATGCCTGAGAGATCCATGCATCTGCAGGTGGATGGACTGGATCCCTGGGAGGCAGTGGAACTAGGTGAGCACACCCCTCCCCTTCCATGGCAGCAGTAAAAAAGAAAAAGAGGGAGTCACAGATCTAGGCTGTGGGTCTTCACACATTGACCAGCACAACTATAAGAGAAGGAGGGGGCAGCCCGGCCTGTGTGAACACTTTCAGAGTTGCAGCCTGGCCCACAGGAGTGCCCACTGTGCCATGGCAGCCACACCTGTAGGAACATTCCCCACTGAGTGGCACAACTCAGTGCCCATGAGGGAGCCCTCACCAAGCCCAGCAGCTCAGCCAAGCCAACTGCAAGCACAGAGCAGCACACAGGAAAGAAAGTGCCCCCTCCCCTCCTGCCCTGCACAGCAGCTCCACCGTCCCCTGCTGGGCACAGTGGT